CCAATTGTACAGCACCAGCGAGGTGTGGGATAGGGCGTGTGCATGTGATCTGTTTACTGTGTACAATCTCTGCAGAAGATTACCTGCATAATCTTATTAAGGTTCTGTATTTGTTTTTATATATTGCATATTGAACAGAAAGAATAAAATTGCTTCACTAGCAGTTTTACAAAGYCTTCCTTGGTTTTGTCTTTACAGTACATTCATTTGCTCTTGAGGTTTGTTTGAAAGAACCCTGTGCAGCTTATTAATGTAACGATGCATTGCAGAATCCAGAAAAGCCTGTTACAGTAGTGCTACCAAACATGAACTGACTTGTCGTGTGACAGCTGCTCAGGATTCCTCTTTGCAGTTTCTTGTTTCAATACCCACTTTTGCTGTGTTTACCCTCATAGCACTATTGATATGGAGTGTAAAAAAACGCATTGTTTTCAGTTTGACCAGAAGGTGTATGGAGAAAGACTTTCCTGTTCTGTTGCATTCTTGCATCAGAAAATTGCTGGCAAAGTAAGGAGTCAGAGGGTACTGTCATTTTCTGAACAGGAATTTATACCATTCTGCGTAAATATCAATACACAAACATATGGAACGTGTGCAGCTATGTCTGCAAATACCTGCTGAATAGGSATTTTGGTTTTCCTCACTCCTGCTGTAAAGGAATGATAAGTCACTTATCCTTCTCCAGRACTATTTGACATACTGACTGTCACTGTCAAAGGTTATTGCAGTTGTTTAAACAATATTAACACCAGTTACTAAATGAGCAATATAAAAACATGAATAGAAGTGCCAAGGATCATGCTGAGTAACAGATTTTGTGGTTCTATTTAAAGAAAAATGACATCTTAATTTTAAGTGCTGCATAATTAGACCTTGAAAGTATTGTGGTTTTGAATTGAGGTGCAGCATTTGCAGTGGTCAAAAAGTTTGAAGTTTTGCCATTTTTTGAAGACTACCAAATTGAAGTAACTATATAACTGTTGATTTAACTGCTGATATTCCAGTGGCTGCTTCTCAAGTGCTCCCAAGGTTAATAACTTGTTGCAGTAACTTTAATTCTCAAATTTTGTCCAAGTATAGAATGTTCAGTGGCTTCTAAGAACTTCTCATAGTTACTTATTCTGTAATAATGATATGGTAATGTGGCAAAATATAGGTACTTCTGTACAGTTTATTTGAAWGTAGGGCATTCTACCTCAAATATGAACCAGGTTAAAAAAAAAAACAAAAAAAAGCAAAAAAAAAACAAAAAAAAGCAAACCAACCAAAAAAAACCAAAACTGGACAAGCATGAAACCAACAGAAAAATCCCCTAAGCTTGTTTTTCAGAGTATGGGAGACTCCTCATCTAGTTAGTGGTTTTTTTGGTTTGCTTGTTTTGGGTTTTTTAGTTTTACTTTAAATTTTAACTTTTAAAAAAATACTCTTAATTTGATGATCAGATTATTAGATTATCAGAGCAGTATTCTACCACAGTATTTACTGCAAGAAAAATATTTAAGGATTTATTATTGTCAGCTCAAGAGGTCCTTCAGGGAAAAAAAAACTGTTTCASCCAAAGGGGTGTTTGTTCTTCCTTATGGTGCAGCTAAACTATCCTTTTATAGTTTGRTATCCCTCTTTAATTTAAGCTTAGGAGTATAAAGGGGAAATTGGCAGAGATTCCTAAGAGCTCCAAGTGTTGCATTTTTCCAAAAAAACCTTGGCTCTCACTTCTCTCATTCGCTTTACCTTTCTATAACAATCTAGAAAATGGCTTTCAGGGTTTGGGAGATTTTGTTATTGTTTGTTTTCCAATTTAATTTTGCCAAATTTAATTATGTTTGAACTTTCACTTGTCAAATGTCTGCTGACTTTTAACATGTATATTTTTAATTAGATTTTCAAATATTATTTTTCCTTTGTAAGGTCCTTCCTTTCACTTGTAAGCTGAGTATTTAGGTTCTCATGGCTTGCTAGTGTGATCCTTCATCATGCAGGTAGTAACCCTTTCATCTTCCCTAGTTAATTATATATCCTCTAAGTGCTATGAGTRGCTATATATCCTCCAAGTGCTATGATCCTTAAAATTCTTGAATGTATKGCACAGACCTTGTAAGTATTTTCATTTTCTCATCATATTTATAGTTATTTAATGCCTTTAGGTCAGTATCRTAAATTTTATATCCTCCATTTGTTTTCCCTGTAGCACTCTGCTCTCACAGGAATAAGGGCATACCATGAAATAATCTTTCAATTTTCTTTGACTTTCCATCCCATATCAAGGGAATCCGGTTCATTGCACTCTATCAAAGATGAGTTGCAAGTGCTCGCAAATGAACAATAAGAAAAATACTGTAGTATAATAATCAAAAGTATTGAAACACCAACTTTTTGTTTCAGAACTGGGACCTATTAACATGTTGGAGGAAAGTTTAGTCTGTGTGTTCTAACTGCTGCGTACCTAAATGAGTTTCCCTTCTCTGTGACTCTATAYGCAGTTTTAATGCCTCTCTAACTGAATTTTCCTACCAAGTTCTTGTCTTCCGAAACAAAAGTAAATTGCTAAATTTTAATTAGCTAAAATCTGGGTCAAATATAAAGGAATTAAAGAAAAGAATAATCTAGAAACTAAGTTCTTTACCTCAGAGTCCTGGTTGTCTTTCCTGTTCAGGTAAATCTGAACTCTGCTAACTCTCTGATGGCTTCTTTGGGTAATATTATTTCACTTTATTGGTGTGCTGACTCTGACATCTTACACTTGGTAGTAGTATAAGTAAGCTGGTGTTATACAGTRTATATAATGATTAACCTGTGGTAGCTCCAGAATGTCTACCTGCTGACTTGTTTGGGGCACCAAGGGCTCAAAACTCTCCTCATTTGTAAATGCTTTTGAATTTGGAAAGCACTTTGACGCACGTTTACTGCTGTCATGTGATTTACTTCACTGAACAAAACAAGATATTAAAAAATTCTTGATCATTTTAGAGACTTGCTGCACACTGGCTTCTTGGTTGTAGTTCTTATTGTTCAAAGAGCTTTAGGACATCTTGAAACAAAGGTTGTCCTTTCTAAGCTACTCCAGAACAAATTATTTTATCAACCCTTTCAATCATGTTTGGAGGTTTTCTATGCCCAAATAAGATACTTACAGTCCAAAGCATGTGAACTTTGCATTTTTTTTTTTTTTTTAAATTGGTTTTACATACTCTGTAGCACCTGATAAGGAAAACTTAGTTCATAAACTAATTTATGTGAGTCGAATAACCACTTTTGCATAATAGATGTTTCAAGGAGGTATTAATACTCATCATATACCTACTGCATGCACTTGGCCCCCTTCCTTCAGTATGCAAGTAAGAACACTGTTGGGATCCCAAACAATGCAAACACCATGCAAAATAAGTGCTGGATGGGTATATAACAGGTACTCAACACTGAACACCTTGATAAATTCTGTGGTGCACACTATTACTTTAAAGGAAGATAATTTATTGAACTGAAGGGAATAAAGTTTCTTTAGACAAGTTTTTCTATGCTTACAGAAATTTTGTCATGAAAGGAAATGTGACTCAAGGAATTTATTTGTCTATATGAAATTTAGATAGAACCAAGGTTCAGAAATTCAGTCCTGTGAAACTTTTCCACTAGTGCTTAATCCTGGAAGAATATAAACTGTGCTATTACTTCGGTTTCAGTTCATTATGCTTCTGTAATTTGTAGCTTTTTTTTTTTTTTCACTTGTGACTGTCCTAGATTTAATTAACTTGCTAAATATGATGAATAACTGGAAAAAAAGCCAACTGAAAACCTCCATGACAATGAAGGTATCCCCACCACACTTCACGGGCATCTGCAAGGTTTGCCTGCCATGTGAACAGCAAGTACAGGTACATCACCGTTTAAAACACTTACATAAGGGAGTGGCATGCCACAGACCAAGGACCAGCACCAGCAAGACTGGACCAGTGCTTGAATAAAATGGACAGGGTGTGCAAAAACACTTTGTGGACCAGYAGCACACTTAGAAGACCTTGTTTTCCTTGTAACTTATCCTTCCGCATGTTGATTACGGCAATGGCAAATTACAGTGAGGCTGGCAACTGCGTTGGAAACAGCCTGGAAACAAGACAAGGGTCAGCGTGACCTGCCAGAAGTGTGACCTCCTGTCGTGTGAGGGAGGAAAATGTCTCTTTTCGTGCCTCTAAACTGCTTATCGCTTTGTTCTGTGAATCTTTGTGTTCCATTGGGCATTGTTAGAGCATGCACTGATCACTCGGGGTATTTTTAGAAAGCGCAAATACTAGCAGAGTCATGCTTTGAATTTTCCTTCTAGCAGCAGCAGAAGGGCCAGCAGTTCAYATCACGTGGCTGCTGCTTCAACAAGTAAAGATCTATTCTAGTAACATTTTCCCACCCAAACATAGCATCCAAGAGCTCTGTGGAGACTATGTGCTTACTGGAGTCTGGGTCACCCYGAGGACTATGCACCGGGCACTTAACCGCTCAAAGCCTCTGCCCTTGACTTAATTCTCATTATGCAGAGTCCTTGGTCACAAAGTGTCAGCACAGAAATTTAAGCCACTTTAGCTTCACGGGGGAAGCAGCTGAGATGGCACTTTTGAGTTTTCCATCTGCGGAAATCGCAGAAAGGAAAACAGAAAAAGCTGTTGTTTTCTAAAATGATTGTAACACTGTAACAGCTGATTGTAACACTGTAATCAGGTGTGTAACGCTGATTGACACGCTTTGCCCACCTTTGCTTTGTGTTTTGCGCGGGTTCTGATGGCTTTTATGAACAAAGCCGCTGACGATGGAGCGGGGATATCAGTGCAAGCTACATGAGTGTGGGCTGCTCCTTCCCGCGGGACAGCGCCCGGGACGGGCTCCTTGGGCTCGGCAGTGGCGGGGTGGCTGGACAGCTCTCCCGGGTCCGGCCGGAGCCGGTGGCCGAGGGGATCCGTGTGCCGCTCACCCTCCGGCCCCCTGCAGTCGGCGGCCCCGCCTCGGGCGCACCGACGTCAGCGCACGTCAGGGCCGAGCCCCTCGCCCTCCCTCCGTCCGCGGGATCTGCCGTCCCGCCGCTCCCGCTCCCCTCGTCCCGCCTTGGGCTCCCGCAGCCGCCGCCCCCGCCCGGCCCAGCCCGCGACCCCGCTCCGCTCCCCGAGAGCYGCACAGCGCGAAGATGGCGGCGTTCAAATTCCTCCTGCCGCCCCTCGGCCGCCGCATCCTCCTCCCCGCCGCTCGCAGGGCTGAGGTAAGGGAGAGGGGCGGCGGGGCAGGCGGGTCCGAGCGCCTCCGCCTCTCCCTGCCCGCGGGCGACCTTGGCGGGGACCCCGCTCGCCGCCGCCCGCGCCGGGATCGCCGTGTGCCGCGGGAGGTGGCCGAGCCCCGGGGTGGACGGCCGCCCCGCGGCCCCGGAGGAGGCGCTTCCCGCCCCGAGGGGAAGAGATGGCTTTGTTCTTGAGGGGTTTGTCCCGCGGGAGCCCCGCGGGCGGTGGGGAGGAGAAGGAAGGGCAGAGCCCCGCCGCGCCGCAGGCCCGGGCCCGGCGGCGGGTGGGGATGCGGTGACCTTGAGAGGTTGGCACGGAGGTTTGGCTTTGAGGTTTTTTGGTCTTGTTTATATATATATATATATATATATAATTTTTTTTTTTAAATTTATTTCCCCATCATTTCAAAAGGTAGGTCAGTTACAGTGTGTTACTGTGTATTCCCATGTGGCTCTTACCGCCTCCTGACCCGGAGGTGGGCAGCAGGTGTGCGCAGCTCTGGCAGCCCCGCCATCTACTGCCATCCATAAAAGTGTGGTGAGCAGCCGTGCAGCTTCCTCACTCGCTTGTTTGCCCTTCCTGTGGAAACCTTTCCGAATGGTTMTTCCTTCTGCCAAACCTCAAGGATTTAATGGTTTCCAACCTACATATAACCAAAAAATAACAAAGTTATTTTTTGTCTCGTCAGCCAGAAGTGTCTCTGTGGCTTTTCTTAATTTATTTGAGTTGAAAAAGCTCACCTTCTCATGCCTGTGTTTACTAGTCCTGATATCCTTATGGACAAGTCTTAGCACTTTCAGGTTTTGTTTCACTAAGTCATATTTTTGTTTTTCTACATAATTTGCTTTAATTGTGTTGATCATTCTAGGAGCTCATCTGTCTTACATTACTTGGTTAAATCTGCCAGAATTGCTGCCAGTTTCTGAGGCCTTTGCTGCCTCAGTGTGCAGGAAAAGAGGTGATCTCTTGATGCCTCAGGTCCCTGAAAGCTCATTGCTCTCAAAAAACAGGGTGGGTAGGAAAGGGACTGAGAGTAACATATTTAGGATAGAAGGGCAGATATGGTCATTAGAGGCATACAACCTGCAAATGCATGCTTGTGTAACACATGCTGCTCTGTTCACCACTGTTGCATACAGTTGGGAAGATTAAAGAAAATCTGGGCTCTGTAATACTTTGCTATGCGTGGGTACAGGGAYACAGCAGAGGCCTGGCCTCTGTCCAGCCCTGGCTCTTGAGCCTTCTTGCAGCCCTGTTGTACTGTTATTCCCAAGGTGCCACCAMCTAATACTCCTCCRGACCTGCTCTGACAGGTCCATGTCTTTCCTSTTCGGAGGACCCCAGAGCTGGATGCAATRCTCCAGGTGGATCTCACCAGAGCTGAGCAGAACAGAAGGGCAGAATCYCCTCTCTCCCCTGCTGCCCATGGTGCTTCGCATGCCACATTTGGCTCTCTGGGCTATAAGTGCCCCTGGCCCRGGCATGTCCAGCCTCTCACCCACCAACACCCCCAAGTGTTTCTGCTCAGGGCTGCTGTCAATGAGTTYTTCTCCCAGTCTGTATTCAGGCTTGGGATTTCCCTGATGTAGATGGAGCACCTTGCATTTGGCCTTGTGGAACCCTGTAAGATTCACAARGGTCAACTTCTTGAGCATGTCCAGGTCCCTCTGGATGGCATCCCCTCCCTCWGGGTATCAGCTGCCCTGCTTAGCTTGGTGTCACCTAAAACCTCGCTGAGGGTCCACTTGATCTCTCTTTGCCATTGATGAAGATATTAAACAGCCTTAGTTCCAGTACACACCCCTGTATCACCAATATCCATCAGCATTCCAAGCCATTGGTCACTCCCCTCTGGATGTGGCCCTCCAGCCAACATCCCATCACCAAATCCATGCAATCAAATCCATCTCTCTCCAAATTAGAGRCAAGAATGTTGTGGGGCACCATGTCAAAGGCTTTACAGAAGTGCAGATGAATCTGTAGATCTCCCCTGTCCACTGATGTGGTCACTCCATCGCACAAAGCCACTTAATGATCAGGCAGGACTCGCACATCCTGATCAGGCAGGACTTGCCCTCAGTGAAGCTGTGCTGGCTGTCCCAAATCACCTCCCTGTGCTTCATGTGCCTTAGCACAGCTTCCAGGAAGTTCTGTTCCATGATCTTCCCAGGCACAGAGGTGAGGCTGACAGGTCAGTAGTTCTTGAGSTCCCCCTTTTAACCCTTTTTAAAGATGGGCACAATGTTTCCCTCGGGGAAGTCTCTTGGGTCTGCACCTGACTCTGTGACTTTTCAAATRCCATGGATCAGTGGAGAAACATTCATGGGATAATTTGGCCTGCAGAAGACTGTTGGAGTTTTTCTCTCATGTGACATTGTTTCTTATGACCCACATACTGATCTTTTATTGAGCCTATCAAAGCAGGGGAATAACAGTGTTTCCACTGGGAAGGAGGTAACCTGCCATTCAGAAAGGTTTCCTTAATATTTATTAAAACTCTTGCAGCTTTAGTTTTATAAAGAGGAAAGCTTGTGTAAACTTGAAACTGAGCCAAAAATTGTTGCCCTTGTTGTAATTGTAGGTAAGTCTTAAGGTAGCTCTTCAGGGAAGAATTGGACTRTTATCTTTWAAATGAGTAGATTACCTTGTTTATRTATTATTTATTCTCCCTCTTTCACAGTATATTTTTTTTTCACTTTTGCTATCAAACTACAAATTGAAAYACCAGTAGGCAGTACTCTAGCTTCCAGATTTTCTGAATTAATTGAGACTATTTCAACATAGTGACTTAAGTGTCAATTTTTTTTTCTGGTGCCTGAACAAATACTTGAGTAGTATTAATGCATTATATTAATGGTAAATAACATTAATGGTAAAGAGAAAAAAAGTTATCTGTGGCATAAGAGCATAGTGATACATACATCAGTTATGATGACTACCGGATAACGGCTTTGCCCTGTGATGGCATGGGTTTGGGGGGGGAGGGGGGGAGGATGGGAGGATTTGCATTGATTTCCCTGGGGGTTTTTTTCTGGTGCCTGAACAAATACTTGAGTAGTATTAATGCATTATATTAATGGTAAATAACATTAATGGTAAAGAGAAAAAAAGTTATCTGTGACATAAGAACATAGTGCTACATACATCAGTTATGATGACTACCGGATAACGGCTTTGCCCTGTGATGGCATGGGTTGGGGGGGGGAGGGGGGGAGGATGGGAGGATTTGCATTGATTTCCCTCTTGCTATCCACATTTCATGCATTTTTGGTGTCATGTTGAAGAACAGCCCAGAATCAAGAACATGAGGAGCTTTAAGGCTGAGTTTGAAGGCTGTAAGGCTGCACGGGGAAGCTGGGGGAGGGTTTGCTCTGTGGAAGGGAGTCCCTGCTTATCACACTGCCTSTACAGTGCTGTCCTTCATCCTGCTCCTTGGCTTCCACTCAAATTTTGTGGTAGTGTTGTGTTTCTGCTTAAACGACCTCTGTTTATGTTTAGGGTCTGGATGTCTTTGAAGCTCATGTAACAATATAAGATTTAASAAGTCTGTGGATGGCTCTGACTTGTGCTGGGGAATTGCATTTGTAAACCYCTTCTCAGAAAGTCACAATTTGTCAGTAATTCAGGATGGAATTCTCTTGTTTTGTAGACCTGGACTGTACTTCCTTTCCTCCCCCTGCCATGTTTAGTATTTACAGTAACATTAGCTTTTTTAATGTATTTCCCCCTCTATTTAGCCAGAGGCATGGTCTTTGTCACAGAGGTATTGTATAATGCCTTTTGTTGATTCACKTGCTTCTTTTATTGTTGTTGCAGATTTGTGGATGCTATTTTTCTACCAGCTGTCATCGCAACACCAAATTTTACACTGATCCGGTTGAAGCCGTAAAAGATATACCCAATGGGGCAACTATACTTGTTGGGGGTAAATATTTAAATTCTTYATGGATGCAATCATGTTATGTTGATAAAATACTTTTTACTCTTTTATCATGTTTCTATTACTATTAACTAATTTGAGAATCCGTGGAATTGCATGATTTTTTAAACAAGTGGTTTCCTACTCTGCTCCTGAGGGGCATCCTCTTTCAGTGAGAAATCCAGGTTGYGTCATAGGAAAGGGGAAATAGCCTCATAAAAACAATTAGGTTTCTTTTCGTCACTAGCAGAAATTGGACTCTTCTTGCTTGAACCCAGAAAGTGAGCTTGGGATTTTTCAAGATAGCATTGCTATTTCACATGTTGAAGAAATACAATTTGGTTTGATTTTTTAACGTTAGCATTCTCTATATCCTTTGCATTTTCTATATCCTTTGTCTGTTTAATTTCTGGGTCTCTGTCACCTTGAATGAATTGCTTAACCTATTTCTGTGTTAGGAAGTGAAGATAATACTTATCTATGTTACACTTAATGCTTATGTGTGGCAYTTCCAGAAGAGTCAAGGAATCCTAACAATTTTCACTGTGACTTGAGCTTTTGGATATTCTGGATGGTTTCCACAATTTCTTGCTGTTCAATCTGMATTAAAAGAAATTGACTTATCTATCTTAGATTGTTTTAATATTGCAGAAGTAATGAGTGCAACATTGTAAAACATGGGAAACTTCAATGGAAATAYGTAATGAGGCAAAATTCCTTCTGAAGGAATTTTGTGTGTTTGTTTTTGTTGTTGCTTGAAGAAAAGGAGATCTGATTCCATGATTCTGTGAAAAGGTAGTGCTTGTAGAGAAACATGGTATTTCATTTTAGGTGTACTGGATTCTCTCATAGTAGGTGGCAGTGTGAGGCACTTGTGCCTTGGTGGGGATCTGGGTTACTATGCTTCCAGTTAGATATCTTCCCAAGGGTGTTCAGATTCCCAGATTTTTATCACCTAATTACAGGCTAAGCTGTATGGGRTGTGCAGCAAAGATATGAAGGTTAAGTGGATTGAAAGGGGAGGATGAATAACGAATACAGGGCTGAGGACACACATCAGGAGRGCCAAAGCCCTGGAGAGCTTCCCTAAAGGCCATTTGTGTGTGAGCAGATATCTGATGAATAAACAGCTTTATCCAAACTGGGAAGGGTCTGATGAGGGGGAGATTGCAGTACTGGGGGCAACCCTTTCAGAGATGTTGATTTATTTAGTCCACTAGAGATCTTGTCGACTCAGAAAAGATTTTTAATTCCCTGAACTTCTGAACAATTGATGTTCTTTCAAATGCTTGTTAMATAATCAACTTAATTTTATTTTTTGTAGGTTTTGGATTGTGTGGAATTCCTGAAAACCTCATTGGGGGTTTACTGAAGACTGGAGTAAAGGGAATAACWGCAGTCAGTAACAATGCTGGGTAGGTATTCATATGTCTGTGGTTTAATAAGTACAGTCTAAAGATTCTAATCATGTGAAAGTGCTGATATATACAAAAAAACCCCTTTATTTTTACCATCATAATTTTCATATTAACCAGACAGCTTTGCTTGAAAGTGTTATTTYTGGAAGGAGCCCAGGAAGTACAGTACTGTATGAATACCCAACTTTGTCAGGGACCACTTGTGCTGTAGAGAGTTGCATTTATGTTATTATAAATATTTATGTACATTTAACTGGTTGACTGTAACTGGAAATTCTAACTTAAATGCTTTAAATATAGTATGAGTGAATTTGTGTGTGTCTTTGTGAAGTTCCAAATAAGGATATATTTTTTAAACTTAGTTTAGTGCTTTCTAACCCTCTTGCTGTATTCCTGTTACTTTAAAAAAATCCTAAATAACACAAAAGCAGTGGAGAATATGGATGATGAAAGAATGGAGAGCCCCTTTGATGCGTGAAATTTTTTGTTTTTTCATTAAATGTTTGCCCCTTAAGAAATTAATATGAAGTTGACAAAGAGAATATTTGTTTCACATATACTTCCTCAGCTTGTCATTCAGAATAATTTTCACACAAGCTGTTCACTGCAGCAAATTCCACAGTACCTAATGGTGTCCCTATAAAGAAATAACTACAGCCACTTCTATAGAAGTGAATTGATAAAATATAAATTGAATTATATAAAAGTATAATATGCAGAATATGAATTGCACATTCATTTGATGACAGATAATTTGTATTGTTATTTGGTACATACACAGTCAAGCTCCTTAGAATCATGTGAGAAACAATTTCTGCTGGATGATAAAAAGGAGAGAGAAAAAGACAGAAAAAATACAGAGTGGAAAGATGAAGCACTAGAATAGAGATCATTAACTTTCTTTTTATTTTTTACTAACTCACATATATATGCAGMTAGAGAGATTGCACAGATGTTCCTGAGGAGGAGGTGAATGTTTGAATATGAGAAAAAGTGGAAAGAGGAGCACTGTGGAACAGGATGGAAAACATTTTGTATTGTATTTTGAATATAGTTGGTGATATTATAGGATAGAATTAATCTTTATTGAAATAACATRACCTTTCCTGAAAGTTCTTTGTATTTTGAGGCTTAAGTGATTTCTGTAAAACTTTTGTTTACTGGTAGAAAAGCAAAATTTAATTCCTGTTTTCTTGAAACTGATTTCCATGAATATTCATGAAAACCTGGAGAGTTCCTCACAGAGCAGTGTAACAGTTTGAAAATGCTCAAGGCTATCTAGGGGGTTTTTTTTAAGTATACTTTGTAAAAACACAAGTTTTACTCTCCTTTTGAACAATATGATTTATTTTGAAAATTAATTAAAAATAAAATAAAATAATATTTTTTTATTTACTGTATTACTACTGTGTGGGACTTAGTCTGCTATAGTTTGGTAATGTTTGGGAACCAGATTAAAACACAGCTGTTGTCAGAATTAGAGTCAGAAGTCTCATCATAACAATTGATACCATTTCCAATCTCCTAATTAGCATGTCAAAAAGCATGCTTTTCTAATACCACRTATCTTCTTAGCATCTTCTAATACCATGTCTAAAATTAAAGTAGAATTATCAAGTTTTGCAACACTAATAAATACCTTTACAACCGAAGTAGCACAGCATTCATATATCCTGCAGCAGTTGTATTCAAAGGGTGAATTGTTCCTGTAATCTTGAGGTGTCAGGCACTTTRTAGGATAAGCAATCTGCCCCTTTCAAATGGCCATACTGTTTAGCGTGCTTTTCTTTGGTGACCTTGTGCTGCAGTTGATGCCTGGCTGTGTTTCAGTTTCTCGATGGCAGCTGCCTCCTGTTTTCCAGTGCTTCCAGCAAATAGGAGGTAAYTGGCTGTGGTCAGGTTTTGTCATCCTGTAGAGGGGTTAGCAGGCAGCTGGTAACTGGAGCAGGGAAGGAGCCAAGAACACAGACAGACAGCYTATTCTGGAGCGCAGTGCGGCTGCATGGATTAAGTCACATGCCTTTCAATATGCGAGAACCATGGAATGTGTTGCAGAGCTATCTGTTTATTACTAAAATAGCAGCAATGGAGACAGTGACTTGCTTACAGCTAAGGGAAAGCAGTAATTAGGAAGTCCTAAAGCGCTCTTGCCAACTTTTTTAGCTGGAAACAAGATTCAGCAAAGCCTAGAAATGCTTGGCAGGGTCTAGAAACAACTTTAAAGGAATAGGATGTTCACAAGTTCACATCCTACTTAGTGTTCTGTGCTGCACATAATTAGGAGGAGATTCCTCCTGCATAAACTTGTTTCAATCATGTAATTGCTGGCAGGTGAAGTTCTGGTTTTGGCCTTTTTAAGGCTTTTCAGTGACACATTTAGCAGTAGAGTATGGGGTGCTGCTGTGCACTATGCTCCTGCTCGTGCTGTGTGCTAGCTACTGAAACAGCACCTTYAAGAGCAGTTATTCTTTTGCCAAGCCAAACAAGGCAAAGTGTTTGAAAGTGAAGCAGTTCAAATATCCAGTRACTTTGGTATTTACACAGCTTACTGAAGGGAAAACTGAAGCTTGTGAACCAGGGCAATAGTGAAAGATAACAATGATAGATAATTGTGTTTCTAAAATACAGCTTCTCACAGCTCTGCTTGTAACTTGTTTTACTTATATTGTTGATACTTTAAAAACTTTCTTTGCACTCTCTTTTTGTAAGCCCTTTAAATTGAGAGTATTCTGTCTCAGTAAGTTACCAAAATCCATTTTATTAAAGATTTTCTTTCTTCTTGTTTAAATTTTGTTCATTCCACATTTGCCAATATTAAAATTAATAGAACTATATAAAATTATAGACAAAAATGAATGAATAAATAAATAAATAAACACTAATTTTAAACAGTGATTCACTAAATTCCTGACATAATTGTGATTAGTATACAGCACCTTCTTGGCTGTTTTTTCATCTGCATGTAACTTCATGGTATGTTGTTGCATACTAATTTCAAGTTACTTGGGACTTGGATATTTCAGGTCAGCCTATGCTAAGAATTCCCTAATGCAGGCACTCAGACATGTTATTTCAGGATCTGTGTTGCAGCAAAAACTGTTTTCTTGTCATCATAGCCAAATATTTAAAATGAAAGTATAAAAAATGTGCACTAAATAATTATTTTAAATTAATTGTGCTTAATGAAATTGAGAAATAATTTTAGCTAAAATCACATTCTGAAATTAACATTTTCATTGTATCTATCTCCTCAATAGGCTGCATTTGTACAGACTGAGAATGAAGCCCCCTTACTTGTGATAACTGTATGTGTGGTCTGATTGTTTTATCAAATCTGGGCTTTTCTGCTTTTGAGACTTAAAAGTGCATTCTTTTTGAATGCAGTAGTGTTGAATAAAAGGTTTTCACTTACAGTAAAAACAGAGAAGTCGCAGTTAAGATCTTAATTTCTTATCACCTAGGTGATCATCTGAAAGGAGATTGACAGCATCTGTCAGATTATCACTGGTTCAGACTGTGCTCTTATAAGGCATTACCAGTTTTGTTGAACATTTGGTTTCTGTACTCTTTTTGAAGGTCATTTAATGTTACAATATTATACATTAGGAAGGAGAAGCTGACTCTGAAATAAGCATTTGGGCTTTTGATCATGATGCCTGAATGCCATTACTTAGCTCTGTTAAGYATAATACCCTTGTTTTCCTAATGGGCTGGACTATTTGTGGTTCCCAAATCTCTGTAAGGCACTACTCTATGGGATCAGATGCACAGGTAAACTTGCTGCCCCCCATCTGGTAAAACACAAAACGTATTTTTATGTTCTTAGCAATTCAGTATTTTGAATTTAAGACAGGTTTGATAAATATTTTGTACGTTAAAGGTTATCTCATTTTTCAGTCATTGCTTTGAATGGTATGTTTCTGTTAAAATCAAAATGTGTCTGCCATGGATTCCCTGGTTTCTTTCCTTGCATGTAACTCATGTGACCTAATTCCACCATTATTGTTACTAAAATAGGTATCTATCTTTCTGTCTTTATATTACTAGCTCTTATYAAAAACATTAAAATGTAAATATATATGTGAAAATACCCCATTGTGTGGAAATTGTATACTAAGTTCACAGAAGGCTGCGAAGTTTTCCAGATAGTATTAGCTAACAAGTGTTTTTTTTTATGGAACTCATTTGACAATCTCTTGATTCAGAAAGGTGAAATGTAAGTAAGTGAAAACATCTGAGGGACTGGCAAGGAGGCTTGTATGTACACAAAGATGGGGTCAATGTGGTGCTCAGAGTCTCTTACATTGTGTGTACCATTTTTGTATATGCATAAGAAATCCTTCAAACATTCCAAATTAAATACACTTTCAGAAATGAAAAATAAGGWCACCAGTGACAGCTACCTCTCTTGATAAAGAGAGAAGGGTGGATTATGTAAAATCCTGCACATGGCAAGTTGCCAAGATCAAGAGATAAGGTATATATTTTCAATGAATTTTATTATTTGAAGAAGTTTACTTTTTAAAAAAAAATTGTCTGCATTCTTTATAAAGACTCCAATCAGATGTTTTATTACAGCTGTTAAATTGGTGACATTGTGTGAACTGCAAATCCCTGAAAATCTGCCTAGGTCATCTRGCTAATTTTAGCATGGAGGTTATTTAGGATTTTGGCAGAGCAAATYGTACTAACTTTGTACTGTGTGAAACTATTGAGAAATCAGCTGTGGAGATAACTTTCTGGTTGTGATTACAAATGAGGAAAAAATAGGTGTAGGACTCATCATATATGAGGAATTGGTAATAAAAAGGTGACAGCGAAAGTAAAACCTATCTTTCAGCTAGGTAACTTTTGAAGTATGATGCATCCATGATGAAATGAAAATATGTATCAGATGACCTCTATACCATATAACTTCTCTGTGAGGGAAAAATATGGTTCATTTTAGAAGTTCTGAATAAAATTGTTTTACTTGTTGCATTTAAAAACCCAGTATG